ATTTTAAATTCTGTAACAAGTCTTGAAGTTCATTGTTTTTCTCTTTAGACTTTGATGCTCTACTTAACTTTGAAATTACATACCCTGAAATATAGGAGAGAGGACCATGTTCGCTTGGCTCAATTTTGCAGTCAGGTGCAGATTCTGTGTCTCTTTCTTGGGAAACATTTTGCACGTTTAAAAATCCAACCAAATGATCGGAGATGTGGATCATGACAAGGTTTGCAACTCGCGAATCTGTACAGTTTAGTAATTCCGCGGACTTTGGCATTAACCCATAAAACGACTGGAGAAGTTTATCCTGATTTTGGCTTCGAGAAAATTTTGTGTATAAAGGCAACACTTTGTCGAACAATTCTTTAGTCGCTGTAGCCTTTTTCACCGCAGCATTTATATTTTCCCCGTACAGCTTCTCTTTAACAATGTTTTCTTTTATCATATCCACAATCGAAGTTATGGTCTCATAACAAAGCGGTGTTGTAGTCGAAAGAATTGAAACACTATCGCCATGTTTCGAATTAGTGTGCCTGGTCAATCCGCCTTTCGACTTGCATATTTTGCTGCATTTTGAACAGGGAAACGATTTCAAGCCTTCAATTTCAGCCACAGCTTCTGCAAATTCATTTTCTACTCCTTGATCGTCAGTTTCTATGAGTTCAAGAGCAATATCTATGTTGTAGAATACATGTGCGTCGGGCATAATATCCTCTTGTTCACTCCTTGTTGAAAACACAGGCACAAAATTGCATGTTTCTTCCGGTTCTTCGTCTGAATCTTGCTCCAAAACCTCCCTCATTTCTTGTTCTTCCTGCAATTTCTCTTCCGCATGCATGACACAAGTTTCAGGCAAAAAAATATATCGCAATCTGTTGAAACAGCTGGAAACCTATGTAATTCTATACTATTTGTCCTGAGGCGATGCACACTATCAGTCACGTGATTTTTTTGTCCTTTGATACGCAACATATTTGCCGCCCCCCTTTGATGTTTGCCGGCTCTCCAAACCATCTCATTCTATTAACTGTGATGCAGGTGATCCACACAAAGAGGTCTATCAAGGATATATTTTTACATCACCTCTAATGCAAGTTATTTACTTTAACTAGCCCAGTAATTTCTTCACAGAAGTTGAAGCGTCAGTTACCAACTCAACAACATTTAAGTCCTTTTGAACTTTTTCCAATGATCTTCTTCAACCCCTCTACTTCCATGTTACTGGATACCAAGCCAACATGTTGTTTTTCCACAATTTCAACATGTATGATGTACCTGGAGCTAACTTCTGTGATAAAATAACAAATTCTTCGGGGGAATCACATTGGCCATCACCACCAGCGATTACTTCTTCATCTTTGAATTCATCCATTAGTTGTCTTCTCATCCATCCCCACCACTCATCTACTGCTGGCACAAAATACAGTCTCTGTATTCTAAAGAATGAAGATTTTGACACAAATGCCAAATTCATACATGCAGCCAAACGCTTCAGTTTGCCAAAGTTATTGCCAGACAATAACACAACTGCAGCAACTTGGATGTCATTGACATACATCAGATTGTTAGAATTATTGCAGAATTGAACCATACTGTTCTCATTAAAATGTCTAAGGTATCCAAATAAAACAAACTTTAAAATTGAACAAAACATTGTGACTGCAATACGACAGTTATAATATTTTAAGTTGAAAGTTTTACCCTTCTTTACATTTTTCCAAAGCCACGTTTCCCAAATGAGATAGCTTTGTCCATAGCTACTGTAAAGGCATGGAATTCCTTGTGGATGGTCGGCAATAACACCACCATCAGACAAGTATTTGCCTCTGGAAAAAATTTGACGGATCTTCCTGCAAGAACTGGACAGTGAGTTTTGCTGTGTTGCCCATAACTTTTGCACTCTGCAAACCTTTTCTGATGTCATCAAGTGCTGCTATTCTTTTCGTGATCACTTCGTAAAATAGGCCGCGGATATGCCAAGTGCCGTCGTTCTGGACTTAGTAATGTGTGGGAACCCAGCGGCCATCAAAAGATCGGTTAAGTCAAGTGAGCTGTCGGTTGTAGTGAATTGGCTGAGCTGTTCATTCGTAGACCGATCCAGCTGTTCAAGAGACAAACACATTTTAAAATAACGCCCTCACACTAACCGGCTTTACTAACTTGACAATTCTATTCATCCATTTGAACTAACTAAAGACTGTGTAGAATGACCAGTGCGCACTCTTTTAGTCTTTTCATTAAAAAATTAATAGTACCTTTACATCCGGTACACATGAACAAGTTTTCATTGACAAGTTTTATTTTGTTCGTGTGTATGACTTTATGACAGTTTTCAGTACGATGGAACTATATCAATCCACACAGCTTAGGTATGGATACTAAATAACCATTTACATTTTCTATGCCCACATCACTGGGTCAGGAATATCATCCAACACAATATGTTCTACAACTGCATTACAACTGCCACTGATGATGTATGTAACTGCTGCTTGAGATAATCCTGCCATGCCATTGCATTTATTTAGACTAGCATGCAAAATCATCTTTCCAACCATAACAAATAACCCTCCTGACAGATAATAATTATGCATTGGAACCAGGTGTCCTCTTGTACCCTCAAACAACTTAAGGGTACCAGTTTGGTTCTCCAACCTCTGCATTAAAAGAGAAAAATACTCTCTTGTCACCCCTCCAGCATCAACTCCTGGCTCGTCTTGAAATGCAACGTTGAGGGGCCTTGTTGTATCAAATGATGGATGTTTGTACTTTCTTACTGCTTGTTCCAATATGTCCTTGTTCCTGTCAAGGCACATATCCAGTTCCTGACCAAAAGGATTAACTGCCTTGGAAATAAAAATCTATGAGACAGTGGCTCATCCAGGTGCTCTACCAGCTCTGGATCATCAGTGTCATCTTCATGACTATGTTCAGCTTCTTCTGAAGCTATAACAAGGAAATACAAAGATTGAACAAATGAATACCAGTACAATTCCATCTTATTTCTTCATAAATAATATATATACGGTATGCATGATACATTTAGATGATATTATACTATTTTAATAGCACTGTACTGTATATATAATGTAATATAGAGGGAAAAAAAGCTGCCATTAAAAAGAACTCCGACAGATCAAATGAAAATAGCTCGCATTCAAGAAATAGCTCCGAAAGAACAAATGAAAGTAAAAATGCCGATGAAGAAACCACAAAAAAGAACTGCCAACTTTTATTGGAGGACTGTCTAAAGGGCACGCAGGCACCAAAATAAGGCCCGCCGAAAGGCCCGGGAAAGAGAGAAAAAAAAAGCTGCCATTAAAAAGAACTCCGACAGATCAAATGAAAATAGCTCGCATTCAAGAAATAGCTCCGAAAGAACAAATGAAAGTAAAAATGCCGATGAAGAAACCACAAAAAAGAACTGCCAACTTTTATTGGAGGACTGTCTAAAGGGCACGCAGGCACCAAAATAAGGCCCGCCGAAAGGCCCGGGAAAGAGAGAAAAAAAAAGCTGCCATTAAAAAGAACTCCGACAGATCAAATGAAAATAGCTCGCATTCAAGAAATAGCTCCGAAAGAACAAATGAAAGTAAAAATGCCGATGAAGAAACCACAAAAAAGAACTGCCAACTTTTATTGGAGGACTGTCTAAAGGGCACGCAGGCACCAAAATAAGGCCCGCCGAAAGGCCCGGGAAAGAGAGAAAAAAAAAGCTGCCATTAAAAAGAACTCCGACAGATCAAATGAAAATAGCTCGCATTCAAGAAATAGCTCCGAAAGAACAAATGAAAGTAAAAATGCCGATGAAGAAACCACAAAAAAGAACTGCCAACTTTTATTGGAGGACTGTCTAAAGGGCACGCAGGCACCAAAATAAGGCCCGCCGAAAGGCCCGGGAAAGAGAGAAAAAAAAAGCTGCCATTAAAAAGAACTCCGAAAGATCAAATGAAAATAGCTCGCGTTCAAGAAATAGCTCCGAAAGAACAAATGAAAGTAAAAACGCCGACGAAGAAACTACAAAAAAGAACTGCCAACTTTTATTGGAGGACTGTTTAAAGGGTGCGCAGGCGCCGAAATAAGGCCCGCCGAAAGACCCAGGAAAGAGGGGGAAAAGCTGCCATTAAAAAGAACTCTGAAAGATCAAATGAAAATAGCTCGCGTTCAAATAGCTCTGAAAGAACAAATGAAAGAAAAAACGCCGACGAAGAAACTACAAAAAAGAAAATATAATAAAACTTAATGTAAAGTAATAATACATTCTTAGAAATGTTCGGAAATGACTATTGTCATTCAAAGTACTTATTACATTTTCTGCTGTCGAAATAAGGAATGGGAAAGTCCGGACTTGTTAACTATTTGAAATAACTGATTGTCTTTTATATTTATATATTTTCATGTGCTCAGTTTTGTCATTTTTATTAGTTTATAGTTGTGATTCAAATAGCCAATTGTATGTTACATTAAATTAGTGAGATTTACAATTGTATATAGTTTATATAGTATGTAACAAAATTATTAAATAAAGTTTCCATTATTATTATCATTATCATTATCGGAACTTTTAAACTTTTAACTGAATTTAACTAGAATATTCTCACCTGTATATATATATATATATTAGTTTTATATTGAATTCAAGTGGACATCGATAAGCTACCTTTTATTATAAAATGAGGTTTATGAATGTATATATAGTATATCATAAATATCTAATAAAAAGTTTCCATTATTATTATTATTATTATTATTAATATTATATATAAATTTAATTAGTATAGGTAATATGATAATAATTTCAGATAGATGTTATTTAAAGATGTTATTTAAAGACTTTTAAAGGTTTTTAATTCATTTTATGTTCTTGCAAAGCCTGATTGTTGTATCTTATCATTTATACTGTAGAAGCATGAAAATATAAATAATTGTCGAATGAAGTTCAATATTTTGAACATTGAAATGTAAACAAAGGCTTTGTTTACATACCAACTGTACCTTACCTTTAATTAATAGAATAGAATTAAAAACACTAATTCTTATCAAAAATTATTATCATTATTATGGCCATATTATATTCCCAACTCTATTGTAATTTGATGATGACGATCATCAAAAATGCAATGCAGTAAAAGTATGCTCTATGCATATATACAGTACCTGATTCACTTAGTATCTTATTAATTGCCTTTTCCAAATCCATACCAGAAGCCACAAGAGTGTCTGAAATTTTCTGACGATCTATGTTGGGAAGCACTTCTCTGAGCATTTGCACATCACTTGCAAGACATTCAGAAGAATTGGATAAGGAAGAAACCATCTCAGAAGACAAAGACGCCTTCTCTGTGGACAAAGATGCATTCTGTGTGGACGAAACCGCCTTCTCTGTGGATGTATGGGCGGTCTCTGTAGCACCTTTTATTAAGTCTCTTATGTCATAGTAAGATGTGCTTGCTATCATCTCATCTTCACTGGAACTGGATTGAATATTATTTTGAGTATTGTAATCAAATATCAACATAACTAGAAGGTACTATAAGCAAGAAAAATGTTGCCTTGTCATACTCATAAAATAGAGCACATTATCGAAAGATAGCTGCAATTCTAAAGTTCTAAAAGGGATGGGTTTTAGGATAAGGTTTTTAAAAGAAATATTTCTTAAGTAGAAGTTTGTTAAATTAGACTATGCCTCAATTTCACCTGTTCCACACATGGTAACCATGAAATGATCCATTGCAGTTGTACAGCACAGCCATTGTATGTAATAAAGTATTGTGTTGTAACTGAAGACAAAATCACAAGCATTGGACAAAAGTTTTAGTTATAAATGTAATGGCCCTAAAATGGAGGTAGGTCAGGCCGAGGTGGGGAGATTACCAAAAGAAAATGTCATCAACCTTAGGATCAGTGGTTAGGGTTAGCATTTGGATTATGTTCACTGTAATGGTAGACCCCACCCATTTTTCCTAGGCTCTATATTCATTTAAAATAAGTTAATGTTAATTTACATAATGAATTTCTCTGTTTAACAAAAATTCTGCGCAACGTGCTAAAGCTAAGAAAATGTATGAACACTGGATAAAAGCGTTTTCTTTCAAAAATTATATGGACAAAAAAATTCATTATCTGAAATTTTGTATGTCATGCTCAGCAGGACAAGCAAGACACATCTGGCTTCGCCACTGAACACAAGCAATGTGAAAAAGTATATGACATCTCGAACTCATTACACTCGGCCGAAAATTGCAAAATTAAATATTCAATGAACTATTTGTTGTTGCATCGAAAATCTGTTTCTGCTTCTCTTACTTTGTTAGTCATAACATCTTTAAAGCATTGTGATCTTTTACGAACCTGTGGTATCAGGAGTGGAATTGTAGTACGTTCCAAAATATCAAGACCAATAACTATTCATGTCATTAACAGTTGTTTAATTTTGGATAAGACAGTAACACACACTAAGCCTAAGCATTCTCTTGAAAGTCTTTGACAAACTTAATCCTACGTTTCTGAAAGCAATTATTCCACAATGTATGGTTATTAACACTCGAAACCTGATGTAGCTTCTGCTTTGTATGCCGACCTGCATTCAAATAAAATCGATTATTCGCGACTATTCGTTCTAGTCGTTCAATTGCCATTTTTAAAAACAGTGTGACTCGGCTACACAAGTTCGTAGCTCCCAATCCGCTATATTATATAGGTGATCGTTTACCAGCTATTTTGCATACCCGTTTGAGATTATCTAATAGTACATTAAATTACGATTTATATTTAAAAAATTGTGTTTCTTCCTCTTTTTGTGCATGTGGTTTTCCAAAAGAAACTACAGCTCATTTCTTTTTCGACTGTGACCGATATGCTGCTATTCGGAATACTTTGCTCACCTCTGCTGCTTCTTTACTCGGTGCAGCGTGGTCAGGTGCTGGTAAGGGTACACGTCTTAAGTGGTTACTTTGTGGTGTCGGGAATGTTTCTATTGATACGAATATTAATTTATTCTTAAGTGTCCAAAAATTCATTATTGATTCAGGTCATTTCACCCGTAGCAGCCCTTGACCACGTTGCCCAGCATGTATATGTCAATTGTGTGTTTGTCCAAAATTTGTGCTTGCTCTATCAGCTGTTTTTTGGGTTTTTTTTTGTAAATATGTAATGTCAAGAGCGCCCCAGATAAGCCTTTAGTGGCTTTTGGCGCAATTGCCAATTTTTTGAATTTTAATAAAATATTGTTTATATGAAATAAAATCGATATATATGTTTTGTCTCTGAAACCTGGCTCGATGATAAAATTCCTACTAATCTGATATGCCTTAATGGTTATATATTGTTTAGGAAAGATCGAGTTGGATCACAAATTGGAGGTGCTGTTGTTTGCAGAAATAACTAGCATGTTAAAACCTGATGTTTGTGATGTTACTCTGAGTGTGAACTAAATACACCTAATTCAAAGTACCATGCTGCAGCTGTTTATCACCCATCTGACCCTGTTTATTCGTCAGTTGAATTGTTAGATAACCTGTCAGAGTGTTGTGAACAAATTGTATTATCTGAGCCAAATGCAAAGATTATAATTGCTGGGGATATTAACCAACTTAACATAAGAGACTATGTCTCAGCACGCTTTGGACCAGATGCCCTTACGAAAATTTCCTATAGGAAAAATTCCTATAAGAATTTGGGACAAAATTTCTATAGGAATTTTTCCTATAGGAAAAATTCCTATAGGAAAAATTCCTATAGGAATTTTGTCCCAAATTCTTATAGGAATTTTTCCTATAGGAATTCCTATAGGAAAAATTCCTATAGGAATTTTTTCTACAGGAATTCCTATAAGAATTTAATAGGAAGAATTCCTATAAGAATTCTCAAGTCTAGTCACAAATTATTATAGGAATTTCCTATAAGAAAATAATTTATTCTAAATTCCTATAAGATTTTTGGTATTCCTGCAGAAATTCTAGAATCTAGATGAAATAATAGTAAATGACAGACAATGTTGTTCATCAGGCCTTAAAATATATTTTGCAGGGCCATCTGACAAAATGTCCGGTGACGTTGAGTTGGGGTCGGACATATGTCCGATGACCTTCAGTCAGTCAGTTTTGACTCGGAAATAAGTCTGAGTGCCGACACAAATGAATAAACGGTAAATGTTGTAAAGATATTAAATAATTTGTTTCTTTCATACTTATTTCCAAGACAAAATTAACTTGATTGCCAGTACAGCAGTGTTAAAAAAGACTTCGACAACTTAAACCCATTTTCCACTTCACCATTTCGCTCGCCGCCCTGTGCTCGACTAGGTTAAAACAATATTTCCAGTTCACCTTTTATACAATAATACTCTGATTTTCCATTTAACATACAAGCCTCTAGTCCTGGGCTAGGGTACATTTTGATTTACGTCGGACAAAGCTACAGTACGGTCGGACACCAATTTACTTGGGTCGGACAAACAATAAACCTCACTTTCACTTTGGTCGGACAGAATGTCCGGTGGTTTCCTCTCTGCGTCGGACAATTTCATGAATGGGTTGGACAATGTCCGTGACCGACCGATATTTTAAGGCCTGTGTTCATCACTCTTAATTTTTTAATGCAAAAAATAGATATAAATATTAATAAATACTAATTAATATTGCAAATATAAAAATTAATATGAGAAATTGGTTATACTAAACATTACAAATCAATTATAGTTTTCACCTATTGTGCCAAATTAATCGTTCTACCTCAATGCAATGCCATATGATGCGTCCTACTTTATTATTTTGCTCTGTCTAACTATTTTAACTTTGTCTAATGCCAGACTATTTTACTCTGTCTAACTCCAGACAATTGTACTTGAATGTCAAGGGGAAATGCTGGCTCTGAATGGGTTAACTAGCCTATATTCCTATATATGTGTCCAGTTAACCCATTGAATCACATTGTGCCCTGAT